CTATTTATTTTTTAAATTGAATAAAGTTAAATGAAATTAAATAACCACTTTTTATATTCTTTCGTTTTTCAATTTAAAAAATTTTATATATTTAAAAATATGTTTTACGTTTGTTTTTCTATTTTTTTTATTATTTAAATAATTTCATTCGAGTTCTTTTTAGCTATTTCTCTAAAAAAAAAAAAAAAAAAGAAATATTCAACAGATGTTAAATCAGTATGATTGATTTTTTTATTTGAAAAGAAGGGGTTTAACCCCAAAATCTCTCTTGAGATCTGCCAGTGTCCCTTGAAATAAAACGACATATTACATATTACATCTCCGTCGTATAGCGGTGATCGACGATGATATATACTGTTAAAAAAGTCATGTGACGTAAGTTTCAAAAATTGTCACGATTCACCGCCTTCTCTTCATCTTCTCCCTTTTCTGTCTTCTCTTATTTTTCTTCGCGACATCTTCGATTATTCCGACCCGAACTTTCCTACGCGTTCTCAATTTTCTTTCTGGCACATCGCGAAAAAGAGAAACTTTATAATACCGCGGTAGGGAACGTTGCAGGAATAATTCGCAGGAAGTTGTCATAGTGTAAACTTATCAGTTTTCCCTCTCTCTATCTCCGTGAGATCTACAACGTACATCGTTACATTTCCGCTTTTCCTCCGACGTTTGTAATCTCTTTTTCGCGTTGAAACTCTCAACTCGCTGAGAGTTTAATGTATACGCATTTGCGAGACGCTCTCTCTCTCTCTTTTTTTTCTCTCCTTCTCTTGAGATAATACGCTCTCTATTAAAAAAAAATTGGAAATTTAATATTAAAAAAAATTGGAAATTTAATATTCCTCGCAAATTAATAAAATTGGCATGATATTAATTGATTTAATTACTCCGCGTGATAAAATTAAATGCCATGTCTGATGGTAATAATCGCTAATGAAAATGCTTTCGCAGTTTATTGCATCTACTCGTCAAAATGTCACTGCATGGTGTATACACTGCACTTTAGTTAATGCTGTTTACACGAAACACATTATTATTACGCGGGCAGATATTGCGATACAAGTATTTGGTAATAATTCCTTAATCAAACAAATATTGGCATTATTAATTATACTCCATATATATGTCGGAAAATTTTTAATAATAAGTTTGATGGCTTTCGAGAGAGATGCATATGATTGATGAAACCTTTGTATGTTCTGTCAAAAGATTTTACACAAAGGATTTTTATTTATCTTTTTAATATTGAAAAGAATTGTCTGACATTACATGTTGGAAAAGACAATTACACATTGATACAACAATTATATTATACTTTTATTAATTTTTTTAATAATCAATGTAAATAGGGAAAAAAATAGCGCTTTAACTTCTTCGTATATTTTAACTAAATAAACTCTGTCCATTTTTCTCCGAGAATATAAAAAGTAGCTTTAAATCGCTCTTTCCACCTTTCTCTTGCTCTTTCTCCTTTTTCACAGCCAAATTGCATTTTCTTAACAAATACTTTGCGCAAAAATCCTTATTAAATTTAAAAATCTTTCGTAAGAACATAATTCGCGAATTTAAAAACAAAATTCGCGAATGACACAGAAAATGACTTATGGATAATAAATCCCGAAAAAGGAAACGTCGTGATTTCCTCGATTAACAGGCAACGTCGCTGTCAAAATGCATTTTCTTATCAAATACTTTGCGCAAAAATCCTTATTAGATTAAAAATCTCTCGTAAGAACACGACAATTCGCGAATTGAAAAAAAAATCACGAATAAAATTTTGTTTAAATTCGCGAATTTTTAAAAGGATTTAATAAGGATTTTTTACGCAAAGTATTTGTCAAGATAATTCATTTTGACTGTGAAAAAGGAGACGGTGCTTCAATATTAAAGATAATTCGTTGCCCGAATATTTGCCTGTTAATCGCGAAGAAAATGACTTATGGACAATAAATCCCGAAAAAAGGAAGCGTCGTGGTTTCCTCGATTAACAGGCAAAAATTCGGACAACGTCGCTGTCAAAATGCATTTTCTTACCAAATACTTTGCGCAAAAATTCTTATTAGATTAAAAAAATCTCTCGTAAGAACACGACAATTCGCGAATTAAAAAAAAATTCACGAATAAAATTTTGTTTAAATTCGCGAATTTTTAAAAGGATTTAATAAGGATTTTTTACGCAAAGTATTTGTCAAGATAATTCATTTTGACTGTGAAAAAGGAGACGGTGCTTCAATATTAAAGATAATTCGTTGCCCGAATATTTGCCTGTTAATCGAGAAAGAAGAAAATGACTTATGGACAATAGTAAATCCCGAAAAAGGAAGCGTCGTGGTTTCCTCGATTAACAGGCAAATATTCGGGCAGCGTCGCGATTTAAGCACCGTTTAATTCGTCATCGTCGGGATGACTAATAGGTAGGTCCGATTCGAGTTGCGCTCGGATAATAAAGCTCGCCGGGATCTATTCATGAACGGCACGTATGAGCGAGTTTACGTACGTGTCTCTCCCTCGTATGACGCGGTCGTGCATTCGTGACGGAAAGCGCGACCGCGACGACCAAAGGAGGAGAGAACCTCCCCCCCTCCACCCTTCTGCCCTTCTACCACCCACCCCTATTCCGAGAGGAGAGTGGCTCTCGACGCTGTAGCTATTTGCTAAATACGCTGTTCAATTATTCATGTGTCAACGTTGCTTTCCTTCCGTTGCTATCCATACGACCGCGGCTTATCGTCGAGCTACTAGCAATCTGCGCGAAGCAACGTTGAAGGGAACTTCTCGCTTCTCTTCCAAGATCATCGCGAATTTCATGTATCTATGTGTGCTTCCCTCGACGCTCGCGGAATTTTAATTTTCCCTGATCAACGCACAGTAGACAAATTTATGGTTTCTTGTTAAGAAGTTAGTGCAGGTTAAAATTTTTGTTTAAATATTTAACACATTCATGTGTTAATTTAACATATTACTGTTCTGTTAATTGAATTTAAATGTTAAATTATTAAAACAACTGCTTTATTAGTGACAAGATTTATCTGTTAAAATTTACAGAAAAAAAATGTTGATTTTCTAATTTATAAGTGGGGATGATAAAAACTAAAATTAATATATTTTTTGTCAATTTTTACATTAAAAGTATGTCAATTTTACACAAAATTTATTTTTAATTATTTGAAATTTTGCAGTTATTTTGTGTTAAAATATTAACACAATATTCGTGTCCCCATTTAACATATTCATATTATGTTAAATTAACACAAAAATGTAAAAATAACACAATGTGCATCTATTTTTAATTTTACACAATAAATAGGTTCTGCTTTATTAGTGACAAGATTTATCTGTTAAAATTTACAGAAAAAATGTTGATTTTCTATTTTAGAATATAAGTGGGGATGATAAAATCTAACATTAACATATTTTAAATTATTTAAAAATTTGCATTTATTTTGTGTTAAAATATTAAAATAATATGTGTGTCTCTATTTAACATATCCATTTTAACACAAAAATTTCTGTGGACCGTTTGGGACATGTAATATCTGTTAAATTTAACAGAAATTTTTAATTGCGCGGATGTTCCGTTATATCTATATCGTTTTAGGGTTTAAATGTATAGGTATTATGGTAATTTTTTGCATCGTTTGTACATAGAGACTTCTAATTTTAAAGGTATAGTGAAACACACACACAAAGATCAGTTAATAATCTCTTACGAAGTTAATAATATTCTTACGTTCGGTCGATCAATCTAAAAATGACAGGAAAAAGAATGTTTAATGAAGTTCTTGAAAGAAAATGATCAAATATTAAACCTTATATCGTTTTCTTACACTGCTAATTATAATTTTACGGGACAGTAAAATTTTATAAAAAATATTAATAAATCAAAATTAAAAAGTTACATTTAAAATAAATATATATACATATTTTTTATCTATTCTTGAATCTGGTAATTATTATATATAATTTTTCTTGTTTTTCTGCTTTAATATTCTTGTGATTTCTTGTTAATAATAGTTCCCACAAAAATCAAGTGATTTATTTCACCATTTTCTCTATTTTGGGAAGATAAATATCTCTCTCTCCCATAGGACAACATTGTGTGTTTGAAAACCTGTAATATATTTTCGTTTAATTACTCTAGGCAGAGTCGTGCAATAAATTTACATACTACTTCATTTAATTCTGATAAAATAACATTTTTTCTTGACAGTGTAAATTTTGATATTTACGATTAGATCAATATTTTTTATAATATCAAAATAAAAATGTTTACAGACAATATTCAGTAATATTATTTTTAAATTAAAATTGAATATTTGAACTCGATATTATTTTAAATTTATCTTTAAAAAAACACATAAAATCTATATACTATAACCCAGTTATCTTGCTTTATTTGCAATTAATTATACAAAATATATATTGTAAATATTTCGTGGATATTGTTATATATATTATATTAATGTTATCAAATTTATGCTACGATGCTATCAAATGTTTTAAATAAAATTCCAATATATTTGCTCTCAAAAATTCTTTTATAGAATAAAGATACTAAATTCGATTTGATACCAAGAGAGATAAATATTTTAGTCATCGAGCAAAATACGATAAATATTATTTTCCTTATTTCGAGAACATATAAAATTTATACATAAATAAATTTATATTATATTTATATATAAATTATATTTATATGTATATTATATATATATATATATATATATATATATATATTTATATTTATATTTATATATAATATATATATTATATTATTCATATAACATATAAAATTTATAAAATTATAAATAACAAATTTAAAATAAAATTTCCATTTTCATACAGCCTTTCATTTCTCGCCTCGTTATGCTTCCTCAAAGTGGAGAAGCAGACATGTTATCTCGAAATATGCATAATCGAATCGAAAGCTTGCATTATTGTCAATTAGCATCATTCCGGCCAGATTCCGGGTCGCTTAAAGATTCACAGAACGTACGTACGGCATTAATATAGTTGTAAAGTGATAAACCGTCGTCCCAAGGTTCCTCTTTCTCGCAGGACAGATTCGCCGGTCTTAAATCGTGGCTGCGGTCCAGGGCTGCCAAACCGTGCGCGAAAACCTGCACGCTATCATACACCAAAGCTGGTTCTGCCTGAAACATACGTTTCCTTTTGACAAGAGTTCGCGCTTTGTGCATTTTCTTGTGCAAAACTTGAGCTTTAGAAGAACTATTGTATTACATTAACACAAAGCTGTTTTTGCTGTAGGGTAGAAATATAGGTCGAGTTTGGCTACGATTAAATTTTAACGAGACTTGTTTTCGATTCTGTGTTCGCAGAAATTAATGGGACTCTCGAATATAATTGTCATTTGTATTTATTACTCACTGTGAAAAGTTTCTTGTTTCATTTTGCAGTCAAAAATGCGATATTAAATGCATCTGTCGCGTTCAACATTGATATTACTTGCAAATAAGATTCAGTTACACGAAAATTTGTTTTCTAAGATTTCGAATTATAAATTGATGCATTTTAATTTAATATAATCCTTCAAGTTACAATTCGTACTTTTTTCCTAATATTAAATATTTTTGTATTTAAAACTACACAATTAAAAAATTTCTATTAAATTTAACAGATATCACATGTCCCAAACGGTCCACAGAAATTTTTGTGTTAATTTAACATAATATGGATTTGTAAAATGGAGACACAAATATTGTGTTAATATTTTAACACAAAATAAATGCAAAATTTTAAATAATTTAAAATAAATTTTGTGTAATATCAACATATTTTTAATGTAAAAAATAATTTTAGATTTTATCATCCCCACTTATATTATAAAATAAAAAATCAACATTATTTTCTGTAAATTTTAACCGATTAATCTTGTCACTAATAAAGCAGTTGTTTTAATAATTTAACATTTAAGTTCAATTAACAAAACAGCAATATATTAAATTAACACATAAATGTGTTAAATATTTAACACAAAAATGTTTACGGGGACCGTTTTCAACAAGAAGACACAAATTTTCTACTGTGTATTAAAATAATATTAAAAAGAGTACGAAAGGCAGAGAAAAGAATTGAGTAGGATGCAATTTGAAATATATTAATTTTTGTTATATAAAAATAATGAATAATTCTAATAAATTAAAAGAGCCCATTTAAAGCATTTTCAGCAGATGGCGACCATCTTCGGAGTCCTTACGAGAAAACCGTGCTTGGCGCGCTCAATTGATCCGAGTTAATGACATTGCGGCCCTGGCCGCGGGCGAAACTCACTTAATTACTGAAGGGCTGACAAAGCTCGAACTGGACACACAGACTCTGCTGACCGGTTCCATCCGACTTTTCAGCCCCTCTGCTTTTAGACTCTCGTCTACATTTGCTTTTACCGTCATTCGAATTCGATGCAATGCCATTTTGTAATGGCGTGAAATTCGTTCCACATATTGCAGAATTTAGAAATAATTTTCAATTTCGCGATAACAAACAATATTTTTTTTTACGTGTACTTAGAACTGACATATTTGTTTAGTAGACAATTTTTTAATAAAATTGTACTTCTTTAAAATGTGAATAAAACAATGTGGAGAAATTTTTTGATATTATAAATTTTTGATAAGTAAATGTTATTACAAATTTATAAATTTTTTGATGAAAACACTTTCTGAAAATTGTATATATCATAAAGTTGACAGAAATATCGCGTTTTCTAGCGCATACACGCTTGAAGACAATCGTGTTTTTAGAATTAGACTTGTTTGCGTTTAATATGGTTCGCAGAACTCACGAGGTGAATTTTATCTCTGATGTCTCTTGCGACGCTCAGTAAAAAAAAAAAATAATTTAATCCCTTTTGTTGCATCAAACATAAACTTGAAATTTCCACCAACCTGAATGACTCCCGTTTTGTTCAAAATGGCATAACCAATAGCTGGCTGGAAACGTTCCATCTGCTTGAGTACTTCGGCAACCTTGGGTTCCTCCAGATCCACCAAGCGAAAGGCCGTCATATTCACGCTGTTATATTTGAAGTCTTCTAGATCGAACGTTTCTATATCCTGCAAAAACAAACAGAGGAAAGATTATTCGTTTATATCATTTTAAGTCCAGAGACTTTGTGTGTGTACTCGCAATTTATTAAAATAATATTTCCAACTTCGATCTTTTTCGTATTTTCTAAATAAACTTGTAACAGCATGATGTCAATTTCATATATTTCCAAAATTCTATCCATTATTAATTTATTCTACAAAGATCGTGGAAAAAAGTCTCTTCAATTTGGGTCATTCTTTTTTAGTAAATAGGTAGAGCTATGAATTTCTTAAACATTTTAAAAACTAAAAATAAATTTGATTTTTTCTCGAGCTATTTTTTTTTTAATTTAACTAGTTACTATTTCGATCTTTTTCGTATTTTCTAAATAAACTTGTAACAGCACGATGTCAATTTCATATATTTCCAAAATTCTATCCATTATTAATTTATTCTACAAAGATCGTGGAAAAAAGTCTCTTCAATTTGGGTCATTCTTTTTTAGTAAATAGGTAGAGCTATGAATTTCTTAAATATTTAAAAAATAAGAATAAATTTGATTTTTTCTTGAGCTATTTTTTTTTAATTTAACTAGTTACTATTTCGATCTTTTTCGTATTTTCTAAATAAACTTGTAACAGCACGATGTCAATTTCATATATTTCCAAAATTCTATCCATTATTAATTTATTCTACAAAGACCGTGGAAAAAAGTCTCTTTAATTTAGATTATTCTTATTTTTTAGTAAATAGGTATAGAGCTTTATGAATTTCTTAAACATTTTAAAAAATAAGAATAAATTTGATTTTTTCTTGAGCTATTTTTTTTTAATTTAACTAGTTACTATTTCGATCTTTTTCGTATTTTCTAAATAAACTTGTAACAGCACGATGTCAATTTCATATATTTCAAAATTCTATCCATTATTAATTTATTCTACAAAGATCGTGGAAAAAAGTCTCTTCAATTTGGGTCATTCTTTTTTAGTAAATAGGTAGAGCTATGAATTTCTTAAATATTTTAAAAAATAAGAATAAATTTGATTTTTTCTTGAGCTATTTTTTTTAAATTTAACTAGTTACTATTTCGATCTTTTTCGTATTTTCTAAATAAACTTGTAACAGCACGATGTCAATTTCATATATTTCCAAAATTCTATCCATTATTAATTTATTCTACAAAGACCGTGGAAAAAAGTCTCTTTAATTTAGGTTATTCTTATTTTTTAGTAAATAGGTATAGAGCTTTATGAATTTCTGAAACATTTTAAAAAATAAGAATAAATTTGATTTTTTCTCGAGCTATTTTTTTTTCGTTTGTGACCCAGTTACTAGTTAAATTGAAGGAAAATAAAAACTGGTTTAGTTATTGTTATAGCGTAACAAATCTCAGCCGTTCTCTTCTTTGGTTCTCGGCTAGAAAAGCTCGAGGGCAAATATATGATTTATAATTCTACGGTGATGCATAGCGACGCAGATTGTTAAGGTAAATAGCGTGGCTTTTCTGCGACGATGAGGTCGTTCACCGGCAGCTGCGTAGTAAAATTGGCCGTGAAATAGATAAAACCTCGAGCTCGCGTTCCCTAAGTGATTTCTTCCCTCGCTACCGCTTTTACACTGCTTTCCTCCGTTCGCTTTAAGTCTGCTGTCTACCCTCTTTCAAACCGCGTCGGGAGAAAGTTGCGTAACATTCTCTGCGAATATGATTTATTCAGAGACCTGAGGATATCTTTTAGGTGGTCTAATAGAAATTCGAAAGAGTGCATTAAGTTTTTTTATGTTATATTTTTGATGCGAAAATTTTTCTGAATCAACGTTAAAATATAGTACAACAATACAAACATATATTATTAAATTTGAAATTATTTATTAACAATATTAAGAATATTTTATTGCCTCTCGAAATAAATACCTATATATATATATATATATATATATATATATATATTTTTATTAAATTTGAAAGATTATTTTACAATTCAGTTGCAAATCTTTGATCATTATTAACATTAAATTGCGTTTATAATTAATTTGTGATAGGTAAATACTTTGCTAAAATTCAACAATATCAAAATAATACATCGAAAATGTATAATCTCTATTAGATTTTGATAATATATAATAATTTGTAATAATTTTTGCAATATGTAATTTTTGAAAATAAGTTTATAAATGAGAAATATAAAACTATTTCAATAATATAAGATTTATAATATGCTAATCAAATAATTAATCGCAAAATGAATTCTGTAAATAACGCTTTTGACTGTGACATTGTTTTATCTTTATACCCAGTTTGCGCTATTATTTAACTAATATTAATAACAAAACATTAACTAATACGCAGTCAATAGTCAATAGATCGAATCTAAATGCACGTGCTCAATACAGGTTCTCTATAGTTACTATACTATAGGCTGCCATAATTAAAGTACACAGTACTATAATTACGGCAGCCTATTGTTCCGTACATTATTAAATCTGAATTACACAATATAAACAATCTTAATGTTTTAGGATGCAACAATTGTATCAAATATCATATTGTTAATCCAAATTATTTTTATATGTAAAAAAAGTTAGTAAGAGTTAGCAAGAGCCAACAACAAAATTATTTTTAAATTCCTCTATATTTATTTTGACTTAATATATATTAGGTGAAACAAAATTATTTTTAAATCCTTTATATTTATTTTGTAATTTTGTAATATTTTGTAATATTAAAATAAGTGTAGAGAGGAATTTACAAATAATAATATTTAATCTAATAAGTATATATCAGATCAAAATAAATACAGAGAAATTTAAAAATAATTTTCTTATATCTCAACTCGTTTTTATATCTCAGAATCTCTTCGATTATTGTCCAAATTATCCTCTTCGTTTCCCGAAAATTACAAATAAATCGGATAGAATAAAATTCGCTGGAAATTATTTCAAGACACGCCCGAGGGGTTAATATCTAATATCGTCGATTAAACAGAACTACATGTATATTTGCTTGCAGAAAACGAGCGATCCGATTTCTAGCGAGTCTGTCGCCGCAAAATTCGACACACATATACACGCAAGAACGCGTAGTTGAACATGGCTCTATCCCTCAGCCTGGTGCATATATAGGTACCTACTGTATGTTGGTTTATAGATAGATACAGCGCGTTTGCGGGCCGTAACTTCGGCTATGCTTGGAGCCGCGGGGTTTGTACGCCTCGTTAGCTCCATTTAAAACAGAAATTTCGGAACGGCGGGTCGGCAGAGATTGGAATTCAAGTAGGGCGGCTCAAAAGGCGACTATATCACCAAAGAAGACCAGTTTTGCTCAACCAGAACAGATGAAGCATGCAAACTTTTTAGACACACATATATATTTATTTATTTATTATACATATATATTTATATACAATATATATATATATATATATATATATATATATATATACAGAGTGTCTTAGAATTTTCACTAAAGAAAAATCGTCTCCAAATGATACCAGAATCTGTCATTAAAAACTTTTCCTGCAGTTCTGGGATACTCTATATATATATATATAATTTCCTATATATATACAGGGTGTCTTAGAATTTTCACTAAAGAAAAATCGTCTCCAAATGATACCAGGAATCTGTCATTAAAAACTTTTCCTGCAGTTCTGAGATACTCTATATATATATAGAGAGAGAGAGAGAAATAGAGATGTATTTTGGATTTGCGTCGTCATTCGGAGATGTCTAATTTTCACGGTTCATTCCCCAAGACCCTAATGCGGAATAATATACGTAATAAGCTGTATACAGTGTACAAAGAGACGAGGGGTCGCTAAGAGCGCGAGGTATGTCGGTTATGAAGATGATGAATGGTATACTGAACACGGGGTGTAGTTAGGGTAGGGTAGTTTCGTCTTGAAGAACTCCTGAACTCCTCCATCCGTCTGGAAAGGTGGAGTTTACCCTCGCCTATTTCTTAAATATTGCTTGATGAATGTTGGATGAAACGAATCTCTGTCCACTGATGCTCTATTGAAGCCCAACAGGCTGTTAACAGACCATGCATAATACGCTCAATTGGAGAAATGTTCCATTATGTCCGGTAAATATTCCAAATTCATTAATAGTCCATTACAATACCTTAATTATATATTTAAACGTTGATTGCTTTCAACCGAGAAATGGATTCGCCTATTCATCTGTTTAATAGATTAGTAATCATATATATATATATATATATATATATATATATATATAAGTATATATATAAGATTATATATATATATATATATATACACAAATATATCGTAAATATTATAAATATTCAAGTCAGATATGCACAATTTAAACTCTAGTATTTATAAGCATTAGATTTAGTTTTACTTAGCTAATCTTAAATTAAAATATGATTACTTATAATTAGCTAATACTAAATTTAAATTTGCCATCTATTTATTAATCTTACAGTCGATAATTTATGATAATTCGTGACAATTTGTAATAATTCGCAATTCTTATAAATTATAAATAAACACGAGGACTAAATAATGCAATAAGTATTTCTGATTTTCGATAGTATTCCGGTGTCAAACTTTGATAATATCGAATATTTAAGTTTTTGGAAAGACTTGAATAATAAATGTGTTTTATTTAATATAAGATTTGAATATGATTTTAAAATATTGATTAATGTAATTGTTACCGTTCATTCTGTGGATATCATTCAGTAATTTAAGCAATTTACATTTTAAAAAATGTTGAAAACGGTGCAACATTAAGTAGCAATATCTGCAGTAAAGTAAATTTTGATTTTATGAAAAGAGAAAGTTATCACGCGACCCTGAGACGTAATCATTTATTTTTGCTAATAAAATGATATGATTAAGTATAATAATATGTTTTTTTAATTTATATTTCAACACATATATAAATAAATAGGTAACCAAACAGTTAAAATTAAAAGTTTTTGAGGAGATTTAGATTCTATTATATATCAACATTTACATGTAAACTAAGAATAATTTGTATCTATTTCCGCGACCTTCTCTTCTTTCTTCTATTCTTGTATACTTTTACTTGAAATAATCTTCTTTTGTATTTAGTCATACACTATCTGTAATACGTAGCAAACATCATGGCACACTCATCACGGAGTACCTGGCAATGGGCATTGGAATATTTTACACA